TACTCCAAACGCGCACGTGAAACCCTACCAGTAAACGTGATAATAGCAGTGTGGAGATGTTTGGATCTGCCCTGATACTTCACAGAAGTTTCTAGCAGCTCTCAGAACAGCTAGCCAAAAAACCCACCCCACTCGCTCTCTATTTTGGCAACGAAATTTGACAGGTGACAGATATTGTTCCTCCACTCTTGGTCCCCAGTCATTAGTGGCTTTTTTACCTGTGTCCTTACTCATGAAAATACTTTTCCCCCAGGTATTTCTGAGAAATGCTTCTTCAAACTGTTTTCGGTCTCGAAGGAGCTGATATTGCCAGTTACACCAGATTCATCGGTATGCCCTGGGATCCTGCAGTCAACTGTCAGGACTACTCTTGCCCTGTCTGGTCATTATAACCACCTACATTAAACACAGCTCTTAACCCCCTCTAATGTTGCCCACCCCGAGAATTCAGTGTCCCGTTTGCCGTTCCATAATCAAGTTGTCAAATAGCGTCATGGTCTTCTGGATAATCTGCTTAAGATGTAAAATCCCATCTTGGCCCCTTTCTGTTTGTTTAGAGTCAGAGCCCTGCCGCTGCAGTTCGATAGGAGATGGGTGACCACACAGTAAACAGTGCCAAACAATACCCTTGATAAATGGCTTGTACATACTTGGAAAGCAAATGCTCTGGCTATTTCAGTCGGTTTCTCTCTGGAGAAAGAGCCCTCAGAAATTAAATTTTCAGTTAATAGATTCCATTTTTTGTTTGTTTGTTTTGTATCTTCCCAGATTCACTGCCTGCTCCATAATGCTCTTAAATCTATATTATAGCCTTAAATTCAGAATCTGAGTATTTAAAAGGGAAAAAAAAAAGTCTTGGAAAAAATGTTGAAAAGCTGGAATTATTTTAATAAGCATGTGTTTCTTTAGATTCATATATCCCAGCTCTAGATCTCTGACTCAGGCTGAATAACTGGAAGGATTTTATTTCTGGGAAGATGAATAGGACAGTTTTGTTGATAGCTGCGCAGCAAGGGGATAACTTCTCATTAGGCGTTTTCAGATCTGGAAAACGCTGTCTCATTCCCTGCCCGCTGCCGGTGCGCACACAGGCCTGTGCCGCAGCTCCGGGAAAGGGGAGCAAGGGGCGAGGAGCGTCAGGAGGGGGGCTGCTGGGCTAGGAAGGATTCCTTTCGGTGGTCTGTCCTTCAGAGGAGGACGACGAATTCTTGTTGACTGTATTTTTATTAGTTTGCTCAAAAGCTATCAATGGTATTCAACGGCAGAGATCAGTGACGGAAGACTGCTGAGTGCCGTACTGGCAGCACTCTGCTCGCCGTATGTGTGCCTTAAAAATGGCTCGTCCGTCAGCCTTCACGCTTTTCATTCCCTGGCAGAGGAAATTACTCATTAACTATGCAAACGTACATGCAGGGATTCAAGTCCTAAACTGTTCGCCAAGAGGATGTCAGACAGAACAGCTTGTTTTCGTTAGGGCATGAAAATGAATGCTCTGAGACGGTTCTTTCGGCATTTTGAAGTTTTCATAAATAGAGAGACAGAGAGGGAGGATTTCTGTTTACATAGAGCAAGGTTTGATCCTGGTAATGTTAATATTACTCTCCATACAAAAACTTCCTGAACAAAGGATATTTACCAGCCACAAAAGCAGTCTGTCTTTCCTTTCCTTACTTGTCTTTCAAACACCGTGCACCATTTAAATACTTCAGTAGAATATGACCAAATCCCACTCCTTTCATCCAGCAAGATGCCTTTGTTGGCTGGTAGTCTCCAGCGTAAGTTCATCGTTAAAGGACGAGGTTAAGGTTTTGTTGCAATTGGGAAAATTAAAGAGGGAAGAGACACAAATGAAGTAAAATCCTGTTTTAATCTGTTGCAGACACAGAGAAAAGTCAGGCAGTAGAGGACAGGGAATCTTGATTTCTGTTTTGCATTGTTTTCTTTCCCTTGTGTCTGTGCTTTGGGAATATATTGGAATATATCCCAGAACTACTGGCAGGCACTGCACAGGCCTGCTTCCAGATACTAGCCACCAACACCTGGAGAGAGGTTTTAGGCACGTGGGAGGTGGGGAACTGCACCTTTCATACACCGTCCAGAAACTACGGTGTTATGCAGCAAGGGACTCGATGAACAAACCTGAGCAGACAGAATTCAGACTTTAAATGAACAACAGTTGGATGGTTTGTCATTGCACAAATTGAGACGAGACTTTCTTTTGGTATTTGCAGATCAGCTAAATGTTTGTGAAATACAAATTAGTTTACAATGTGATATGAATGAAACTCAATAGAAAAAAATGGGAACTTAATGTCTAGCTTAACTGACTTGTCCCCAGCGTCCCAAGGTAGATAGCAGAGAAAAAGAGGTTGCTGCCAGGTGAGATGGGAGCTTGGGTTCTCTGAATTGCCCACTGGAGGAGCTTCTGATTATGTTATCTAATACAAGGGAAAAATTGTTTTTCAGGCACAAAGTTGAGATCCTCGCAAAATCTGAAAGCCAAGGTTGCTTACGTTAACTCCTGTTGTTAGGTTTGTCCGAGGCAGGATTGGCAGCAAATCAGAAATTAATCCTCTGCTTAGAATAGAAATAGGGTACCACAGTTGCCATGGGGTGGCAAATGTTCAGGAGCCGTTATTGATGCTTGCCCTATATAGATCACCTACGATGTTGTCCTGAGTCCAGAGCTTTCCTAAAAGGGTTTCAAGGTAAAACAATGCCTGCGCAAACTGCCTGCTGCCTTGGGAGTGATCCAACGGCATTTAAATGCCTCTTGTGAGCTCCTTCTGAAGGTCATCGGGAGAGGAGAATGCAGGAAAGGAGTATCCCGCTCGAGTACTGGCTAATTCAATCTGGTGATGATTCATGTTTCGCATTCCAGGATGGCTTGATATTTCATGTGTTTGTCACCTTTTATAGCAATGCAAAATATGTAGAATTCAATTGTACAAATCACAATGACAGAACAAGAGCTTAACAAAATCAAAATACATTTCTCACTTAGCCTTATCAGGTTAGGCGTTCTGAAAATACCAGTAAAACCCATAACCCTGGGAAGTGCTGTACTCTGCTCCAATGCTCTTTGAAAGCCTAGTGAAAAAGGCAATGAGCCCGGTAACAATTCCCGAAGATGGCAAATTCACTTTTTACCAAATGTAGTAAAAACAAGACTCCTGCCCTGTGCCTAATGAAATCAATGGGAGTCTTGTGACTGACTCCGAGAGCAGCTAGCTTAAACCACAAGTCGTATGATACAATAAAACATATATCTCTTCAATTTAAGAATACAGTGGCAGCAGAAACGAGCACCAGCTGTGCACCGTGGACAGCAGTCAATCAGCCGCCTAAAGGAAATTTTGAAAGATGGTAAGAAAAACCTTTTTTCACTCCTTGCTGCAACAGTCTAGAGCAATGAGAGCTCTTATAATAACTGGCATGTTGTGATGACCTTCCTCTGAATCTTGCACTTTTTTTAATTAACAATTGATAAATTTATTATTCTGTCAGAGATTTGGCTCCTCTACATTCAAATGGAAATTTGTTCTTCATTTATAAGTAAGGAGACCCATTTGTGAGAAAAAGATTAAGAAATCTGTATGTTATTTTCCAGATCAACAGTCTTTCAATTGTTTCAGTACGGAGTAAAAAAACCACTCCCAAAATCTAAAGAAATAAGCTTACTTCCATAGTAAGAACTAAGTTTGTGTACATGTCTGCATGTATGTACAGACATGTCATTTTTTACTTTTGCCTTTTCTCTGTAGTCATTCCCCATTGGACCCTTCCAGGCTGATAACTTGGGGCAGCAGTGGCTCATGGACCACTACACTTCATGACGTTACGGTGCGCTACCCTCCCATAACGCCGTTAAAGCTCTCAATTTCGTATTCCTTACCAGGCAGGTAAGGAAAAGCAGCCAAAGCTGGTCAGGGTTTGTGCTCAGAGACCAGTGCTCCACGGCGTCCGTAGTTTGAGATGTGGCACCGTTAAATAATGATAAAAATAAATAACCACCTTGTTGCACCAGCAATTGCTTTCACAGGTGCTTGTGTTGAATTTCAGTTTGTGCTAGTGGGACAACAGCTACTTCAGAAAACAATTTAGCTTGAGTTTAACTTTAAGCACCTTAGGATTAATGTGCTTAACTGTGATTAATGATCATACGTTTTGGTATTTTTTCCTAGCGAGGCCTTGAGGCTGGATGGATCCTCTATGCAAACTGTAGGATTTCCCCAGTCGGTTCTCAGCTGGATGATTTTCTCGCCCCGCTGTGCTCTGCGGCACAGACTTGCGACGTGAGTGATGGCGTTGGTGTAAAATGTCGTCTCCCTCTGCAGTGGCAGAGCTCTGTCTACAGCAGCTCAGAGAAACAAATAGGAAACAGGATTTCCCCCAACAGGCATCTGATTTTTCAGAAATGAACCATTGTAACGGGATGTGCAGCTGAGCAAAAACCGTAATTTATACCAAATGCCTTGAGGGGCCAACTTCAGACTTGACAAACATGGCAAGTGGGGCTTCCAGCTCCCTTCACTCCCTTCACTTGAACACCAGGCTCTACCTGGTTGCCTTTTTCTCTCAGTATTTACTAGAAATAATGTTCTTGTTACGGTTTTGTGCAGGATGGGTTCTGGTAACTGCCAGACCAAGAAACCTGACCCTGTTTGCTTGCTACAGACGCCACCAGCTTTACGTGCTCTGCAGCCTCTGGGAACCCTTGTGTTTGCCTCCTGCTGCAGCCTTGGGGAGATGCCCTTTCAGGAACTCAGCTCTTCAGATAAAATTTTTCCTCTTCACATGAGAGCATCCTTGAGTGAGAGCATTGCAGCATACTTTAAAAGCTTTATCTGTCTGGAAATGTTCCAGACAGTCCCTTACGTACCGATGTCCTCCTCCTCCTCCTCCTCTCCCCCTCCCTTCTTAAATCTTCCCAAGCAGATCCATATCATTAATATTTCAGTATCGGCTGTTCACAGGCATTGGCTACGCTGCAGCGCACTTCAGCAATAAGAGCCGGCAGAGTCTGTGAGGTTTGCCACACTGCCTTCATCCAGCGGAGGAGTAAGAGCAAAGACAGAGACTGGCAGAGAAACCGAGTATCCACCGAGGGTAAGGCTGCGTATTGCAGTCCCAGTCTTGAGGTGCTTTTTGCTGCTGTCCCTCACGCGGATCGCCCAGGTAATACCCTAGCAAGCAGCAAGAATGGATGTCTTTAAGAAAGGTTTCTCCATTGCTAAAGAAGGTGTGGTGGCTGCTGCAGAAAAGACCAAGCAGGGAGTGACGGAGGCTGCAGAGAAGACTAAAGAAGGGGTGATGTATGTAGGTAAGAGAGAACTATTTTCAGTCTACGTTTGAGCACGAACTGCCGCATAGATTGTCTCTGAGAAAGTCTGGGGAAATTATATTGTGGCTAAAGCTTGGGAGTGAACGGCAGGAGGTCTGGATAACATCCTCAGCTCTGCCACAGAGTGGCTGTGTAAGCCTGGGGTGCCACATCCTCCCCGCGCCTCAGTTTCCCCAACTGCAAATCAAACGTAGAAACGGCCACTACTTCAGGGGAGGCAGAACTAACGCAATGTTGAGGAGCATATGCCCAGGTGGAAGGTTTCTGTTACGACTATTCGCTGATTGTTTGCAGGGTGAGTCACTCACTCTCCAAGCAGCCAAGCACTGCTGATCCCCGCATCACCTCCACGCTGCGAGAGACACGCTGATGAGGTCCCCGAGAGGAGCCAGCAGTGTTATTAAGTGGGGACTGCAGGATGCATCTGTTTCCCCACAAACATACTGTTTTATCCTGAAATCCTTCTCCTGTTCACTGACCTGTTTCATTCCCCATGCGCACATTAATCTTGCGTTACAAGAGATACCCAAATTCATTTTGCCCAAAGGATAGGGTCTGGAAAACAGCATGCCTGAAGTCCTGCTAGAGACCTCTCTCACGGTTAATGTGCTGTTTCAGAAACCTCCCCTTCAAGGTCACCCTCGAAACCTGCTATCTCCACTATCTAATCTAGCACATATAATTATATGGCTGGATGGTCAGATATTCCAGATACTATAAAATCTATGAAGTCTTAGGTTCCCAAGACTGATTACCTCGGTGCTGATCACTGCATCTCACACAGCTTTTTATGTTTGCTAGATGTGGGAGTGAGGGGGTTTTTTTAGCAGGAAAGTTTACATGCAGGCTCTTCCTGCTATCATGCTGCAACATCCACAGCTGTATGTAGCTACTATACCTAAAACAGTTATATTGGCAATAGCTACTGATATAGGTTTGTAAATTACAAATGAAACACAAATTTTATGTGTGGCAGATCCGGTAATGTCTTCATCCCGAAATTTTAAACGCTCAACTATTGGCATGCTGTGAATGAACGTATGTAACAGTTCACATTTCAATTCGAAGCCGACTCGCAAGAAAAAAGGTAAACAGCATCCCTGTAAATAACTAGACTAACCACAATAACTGAAACACCAGCCTGTGAAACATCACATCCAGGTGTCAAACTGTGGCATCCCTACTGCCCTGGCTGCTTCCTGATTTGAGCGATGTCAGAAAGGATTATTCCAAATTTTTTACGTAATTCCTCACATCTCTGTTCAGTCACGGTGTACGTCTCCATGCTGTGGCTGTTTTACATTTCTGCACAGCCATGAGGTAGAGTCTGCTCATGAGATTCCAACCTTTTCAATAAAGTTTTCTAAAAGCCTTCTTAAAATGTAAATCTCTGAATGAGGACCAAATAAGGATCAAGGTGAAGGTGAAGCGCTTTCTCCTTTTCTTTTTTTGTTTTGGTTTGTTGGGTTTTTTGGTATACCACCAATTCCTGCCCTGTCATGCACTGGGTAGTGCTTTGCCTTGGGGCTGATTCAGTTCCTGTTGCACGCTGGGGGATGCTCAGCCCTTTTGGGGAATATTCAGTCTTTCACAGGCAGGAAAAGCAAAGGCCAGACGCTGGTTATCTCAGAGAATTGCTTTTTAAATAGAGAAGGTGGAGGCCAGGTACACTGATTAAAACTGGAGTGATGAGTGTGTTGTCTGTGCCACCTTTTCTCACTCTGTGACGCATGAAGGGTTAATCAGAGACCTGAACTGTTCCTTCCTTGCTCCTTCCTTTGCAGACCCCTATCCTGGCAGCTTGGTCCGGAGCGTTGTTACGTGACGCAACCTGAATTTTTGATGCCAGGAGAAAATAATACTTGTATAAAAGCTTGAGGGTCTTTTCAGAAAGCCAGGAAAGAGGGGCGAACCCCAAAGCTTAGGATGGATTAAGTGGATGCCTGACTTTTATTCAGGTTTGTGTTAACTCATCACTGACTCTCCAAGGAGGATTCCAGATGTCTGGGCACGACCACCACATCTGGTGAGTCACTTGCTGCTGCCCCAGGAGAAAAAAATGCTCATTCAGAGGCACCCGCCTGGAGCGGATGGTGTCATCGGGGCTCTGCGGCCACCTCGTCCCTCCTCTCTGAGCCACGCAGGTTCAGTTCCCACAAGCCATGCCAGAGCCCGAGCTGCCTCCCTCCTGTGCTAGCACTGCAATGCGGTTCACAGCTGGGCTGGTTAGAGATGCTGCCATCGCCGGGGGAGTCACGAGCGTGGGGTGCTCCTGCCCCGCTGCGTGGCTCGCTGAGCGTGTAGGGCAGAGGGTGCACAAAGAGAGAGAGAAATCCTGTAGCATGGGCCACCTTTGCACTTAGTAAAAATCACAGTCTGCTCTCCAAATTGTAACAGCCGCTGGGTATACCGAAGTGGCTGTGGGTTCTTGCAGGGTTGATGTGTATCCAGAAGTTGATTCAATGGGCTGTCTTTTTTATTTGGTTTAAATAGGGGGATAAGTGATGCTGAAGTTAATTAATGAAGTTAATGCAAAGCTGCATCAGAGTATTAAGGTCATTAGTACTGTTTAATACTATAATTCAGGAAGCCTCCACAAAGAATGCACTTCTAGTTTTCCAGAACGGCTTTCGACCATGCATGTCGCAGAAAGCCCCAACGCACCAAGCTCTACTTAAATGGAGCGACTCCAGCGCGGACTCCTGCAGGACTTACAGCACATCATAATACCCTTTTCTACCGCACCTCTTTTCCCACCGCACAGCGCTCCGCCACCCCGGCCGCACCCCTGCGATACCGCAGCTCTCACGGGTGACTCACAGCACTCAGAAGAGGCAGGATGCCTGAACTTTTAATTCCGTGCACACAAGCTGCAGGCGAGGACTAGTGAGTGAAATGAGATTGAGCCTCAGGTGATGATTGCTTTCTGACTCAACAGATGCGGGTTGCTGGCGAGGATTTACGCCGAAGGTCAGGTTTCATGTGGTGCATAATGGATGCTGAGCCTGAGTCACTGGGTGTGGTCAGGAGACGGGGTTAGGAAGACGAGGCAAGCTCTCCCCAGCGGTGGCACTCCCCGCTGCCCTTGCTTCTGCCGTCAAATGGGTTCAGGTATTTTTCTTCTACCTGCATCCCTCCTTCCTGGAATTATTTTCCATCAGAAAATATGGCACCCACCCGCTCCCCTCCCCCTGCAAAAGAATTGAGCCCGGATAGTCATCTTAAATCACAAGTCTGGTAAAAAAAAAAATACAGAAGTACAGCTCTTGTCTCACTAAGCGTGTTTACTGCAAAATTGAAATGTGTGCAAGGCTAGTACAACAATTTATATATTTTTGCCTACCTAACAGCTGCTCTTTGACCAAAACACAGCAAAGAAGGGCTAAGCTTGAACGTCTGTGTCTGATGTGAGAAGATCTTGTACGCCAAATCAATATTGTGGCAGTCTTTCATTGGAATGGCACTGGGAGGGAAACTGAAGCAGGATGGCGTCTGAAATGAACTGTGTGCATTTGGCCCGTTCAGGAGCTCACATTCATCGCTTGAGACTTGCATCTGCTCTGCTCACTGCTGTGCTTCTGTACGCATTTGTATATCACGGGCATCATTATCAAATCCAGCTTACAGCAGTGCACACGTATCATATGCGTCATTAGGAACTGCTGTTTACAGCAGTAACAAGTATAAAGTACAGAGATTTCACCTCTTCTGTTTTAACACAGTTCAGGAGGGTGGAGTGAACTGCTGAGGGCATATTGTAGTACAACAGCTTTGTTCTTCCCCGGGCAACTGTTGCAACCACCAAAATAAATCAACAATTGAGAATTACGTTCAATAATACATAACATGTATCGGGCAGAACAGAGCTGGGCTGGATCTGCCGTTATCAGGGCGCTGCACCTGCTTTGTTTTTCAGGCTGTTAATGAGAACGAGATGTGGTTTGTAGCTGATTTCTCCCACCACACCCATGGATGCTCCAGTACCTCTGGAGTTAAAGATCTGCCTGGCACTCTATTTCTATCATTTTGACAGTTGGCCATAAAAATGCTTTTGTTGTATCCGTATAGGAAACTTTAAAAGAGCCTGTATAGGTGCAGATGATTTACAAAATACAGTAAAGTGGGACCAGTGGAGCCTTTTGGCACGTGGTGTTAATTTAACTTCCAACAGAGGTAAATTTGATCCTTTATTTTTGTAAAGTGAAAAAGCATCTAGTTACTGTGGGGGCTGCCCATCCACCATATGATTTAACATACATGCTGCAGTATACAAACAGAAGGGACGTATAGCAGGTCACCTCAAGCTTGGAGGAAAACTGCAGATATTAATTATTCCTTAAGGGCTACTTATGGTGCAAACTGAATGCCCTCACATCCTGTTAGCTTTTCTGCCTTGAGAACAGCGAGACAAATTACAACGTAAGCATACATATGGTGTACTTTCATAATTTGAGATAAAAACATCTGCATTCTGTGTATCGCTGCAAGCAGGCACTTACAGCCTAGGCTGAGGCACCAATATGGGAATCTAGTAAGTAGGTGTGTAGTAGGAGGGTGGTTGTTCTGTAAATTCAGCCTCAAGTTTCTCCAGAGTCTTTATTAGAGGTATAGAATGCAGCTTTAAATGACCGCTGCAGCCAAGTACCCTGCTGAAAGGCAGGGGAGAGTCACAGGTGGGACTCCGCGCCTTGAAAGACTGAAGTAGGTGAGATTTCACCAGGTCACCTAATATACGTTCATTTTTACAATTAGCTTAACATTGATTTACCTCCGCTCAACTGTTCTTTCCATTTTGGAAATATTTCCGGGACAATTTTTCCTACTTAAGCATGCTATAATCAAGATTTTTCAGGTCTAGGCGTCTCAGGACAATTTGTGGTTGAAGTTACCCAACTCCCAACACAAAGGTACTCATTGACTTCACGGGGGAAGGAAGCTGGTCCCTTCTGCCGCGTCTACAAATGGGTTGTGTCTTAGCAGGAGGTGCCGGCAGCACCATGGCTCCCACCACACCTAGTAAGAACAGAAAGCCATGTCCATGTCCAGAATCCAGAGGGTTCTTTGCCAGGTAGCACTGATGGACCGTGTGTTTCCTTTCACAGGCACCAAAACCAAGGAAGGCGTAGTGCAAAGTGTGACCTCAGGTAAGAGGACAGCCCTGAGAGGGACGTGGAAATCTGTCATGTGTTGCTGGGCCTCTTGATAAGGCCATCGTTGCTGCCAAATGGAAGGTCTCTGGGGGACACCGCGGATCTGCGTGACCTTCCATTTGGTGAATGGAGGATGCTTGCCAGGAGCGATGGTGCAGGGTCTGGCATTTGCCGTGCACGTGGATGGGAGAAAATATTTAATCAGTAGAGCAGGTCAAAAAAATCCAACAAATGTTACTTGGCAGACTCGGATGATTCACAGCAATTTAGACATCTCACAATGCCAAGAGTGCTGCCCAGCATGCAGAGGGGGTTTACCTGCCCCCGTTCCTGTCGGACCAGAACTGTGGTCTTTGGGAGCCTCCTGTCAGGCAGTCACAGAGTCAGGCACCCTGAGGGATCTTTCTAGGTATCCCAAGCTCCAAGGCTGGGCAGCCTTCTGAACTGCCTTGAGGAGAGATGAATGGATGCTTTCCCTGGAGAATTTTGTGACTAAATTGCTTCCCCCCCCCAGCCAGGTGTATTAAATCAAACAGAAGGTACCCAGAGAGAGGTCATATGCAGTCTGTAATGCAAAATACCTTATTTGCACAGTTGTCTCAGTATCCTACAGTGAATTTTTCATTCTCCAGTTGCCCACAAAGACTGACAGGCTGCAGTGCTGCTCTCTGAGCAGCGTTTTGAGTCAGACAAAACCCTTGTGTACATGATCTACATTCAGACGTGATCTCACATAAAAAAATCCAAATAAGGACTGTAGCAGGGCCGATTTCTTCTCTTACCTCGATGCAATCATTTTATTGTCCCAGTGAATTTGGCAGCCTCTTGGCAGTGCCTAGCTCATTGACTTTCTGCTTTTGTTGAAATCCCAGTTGCTGAGAAGACCAAAGAACAGGCCAATGTGGTGGGAGAAGCTGTAGTAGCCAGTGTGAACACAGTGGCAAACAAGACTGTAGAAGGAGCAGAGACCATCGTGGCCACCACAGGAGTTGTAAAAAAGGTATGTTTGTTTCTCTGGTGATGTGCAGGACAGAAGAGTCGTCTTTGGATTACATTTAAAATATCTGCAAACATTTACAGTTGATGGTTTTACTTATTCAGTGGGAGGTTTTCAGCAATATCTGCATTTATATAATGCTTAATATTATTATATAATGTTTACTACGTAATCACAGAATCGTTTCATTTGGAAGGGACCTCGAGATCATCTAGCCCAACCCCCTTAGGGTCAACGAGAGCAGGTTGCCCAGGACTGTGTCCAGTTGGGTTTTGAATATTTCCACGGATGGAGACTCCACAATATCCCTGGGCAGCCTGTGTCAGCATTTGACCACCCTCACAGGAAAAAAAGGAGTGTTTTCTTGTGTTCAGATGGACACGTTAATCCACTTGTGCCCATTGCGTCTTGTCCCGTCGGTGGGCACTGCTGGCAAGAGTCCGGCTCCACATTTTCTTATGAATGTAGAAAAGCATTTTTTCCGGGGACTTGAGCAGAAATACAGCCAGGCTGCGGTGAGTGAGCATCTGGCCGGAGTCCGAGCTCTGGGGTGTGCTGGGCGTGAAGGAGCGGGAGCTCAGCGCTTGCCCTCGCACCTGGCCGGTGCCTGTGCAACACGCAGCCTTGGCCCCGGCCCCGGCGGCTCCGCAGGCAGAAGAGGGCAGCAGCAATTCAGGCACAGCCCGGTCCCGGCAGAGAGCCTGACCCTCCTGCTCTTCTTTGTGCTGATTTTGACAACAAGCAAGCGCTGGTTGATCAAGGCCCGCGTGACCCAAACTGTGCACAGATTAAGCCAGGTTCAGACAAGGCATCTTCTGTCCTCCAGCCTAATTTGACAAACTGGGTTGCTTCAAGTGAGGGGATCAAGGGGCGTGTGAAGGAGCAGAACAGCTCCCTAGAGGAAGGCAAAATTGATCATTAGAGAAGATGCTTTCACTGGGTGGTAACAAACAGCAACCATTTGTACAGTACACGAGGCTCATACTTGGCAGCTCTGTGGTGAGCCCGGCTGCGTTTCCCCTCTTCAGCGAGCTGTGGTCAATAGCGCTGATAGCGACATGAGCTAGATGAGTCACAACAAACCCAAACCCGGAATCAAAGCAAAGCGAGGCTGGCCAAAATTGTTTTAATTGTTCAGACAGTTGGCTGATGAATTTCCTGACCTGCACGTAAACACATTGTGATGTGAAACAAAACTTCTACACACTATATAAATCCTGAGAGAATAGCCTAACAAAAGAGGAGAACAGCAGCTACGAGTGACGCATAATGTCCTCCTGAAAGCATGTGAAAAGGGCAGATACAGAAGTTCTGCTAAGCCCTCGGGATAAGATTAATCTCTATTCCCACAGGGAACAGCAGTTAGGCTGCAGGAGTGCAAACAGTGATTTCTAATTCCGTGGGGCCCGACTACCCCCTCCTGCCTTTTGACTGACCAGGTGTGGGGTGGTTGGCCCAGGAGAGCTACGAATTTGCTGACGGTAGGAATCCGTCCTGCAGATACCAAACTGTCTCCCCTTCTGGCAAGGACTGAGCAGCAGCAATCCTCTTCCCCTTTTGTCCTAAGTGAGAGCCTTCTCTCAAAGACTGATGAGCTACAACATACAGGTGGTAATTTCACAGCTCAAACTGGCTGACGTTACCTGTTTCCACCCCTGTGCAAATAGTCCCTTAGAAAATCAGCAATTCCTTCACCTTAGTAATGGGTCTGGGTTATGCAGACTGCAGGCAATACGCAAAAGCCGTGAGTTTTCCAGAGGGTTAAAGCATTAAGCATCTGAACTGTCATTCTGGCGTCTTCCGTTGATGTCTGCCTGCTTAGAGTTAAAATGGGGATTGATCAAGAAATAAAAAAGTGGGCTGTGGCCCATGCCAAAGGGCAGACGAAATGAGGGAGCCAGGAAACTGCTTCGGATACAATATCATGGTGTCATGCCAAATAGCAGAGGTGGGCAGCAGAACGAAAACAGGAGGAGAAAAGAAAGGCAAAAGAAGTCACAGGAGAATGAAATTCAGGAAAAATGTTTGTTTCTGTGAAAGAGAGGGGTTATTTACTCTAGCATTTTACTTCAGCTTAAATTAGGAGTGCAAATCTTCTAGTCATCCTCACTCACCATACTTCAGTTGCGTCCACTAGATACCTTTTGGACAGCGATGACACGGAAGATGGAGCTCTGAGTGCATCCCAACTGCTAATGATTAATGGCCATGGGGCCAGAGCTGCTCCGGAGGGAGGGAGGGCCCTGAAAGGAGCAGAGGGGTTGTGCTGGGCTCTCGGCACCAGCTGTTTTCTCTGCAGATCTGCTCCTATTGTGCTGCACAACTTGCTAATGGAAATAGAGCCAGAGGCTGCCAAGAGCAGCACCGGGCACTGTAATGCATTTGGGAGACCCGCTGGAGATAGGTACACTAAGAAGAGTGATAAGGTATAGCAGATAGATGTTTAAAAAATAAATACCTACTGTCAAAATCTTGCAATCCTGAAATTATGCACAAGCATCGCAGCCCCTGAAGTTTGAGAGAGCTGTTGCATCCAGTCCTGAGACTTGCTCATGTTCCATCCCATCCTCCTTCTTTTTAATTGCAAAGAGCAGTTGCTAATGTCTTATTTCTGTTTTCAACTATCTCCAGTACTGCTCCCTGCTGACTTTGTAGGGGAGTTGTTCAAGGCACCAGGGGATCTGCATGAATGCATGGGGGGCACTGAGCAGTGCTACCAGATGACTCGAATCTGGGGAGTGGAGTGGCCTAGGAGGCATGTCCCCAGCTCAGCCTTCCCAGTATTAATATCAATTATGGAGAGCTTGTTGACATTTAATCTGTGCATTTGACAGCTGGGATCAGTGGCAGGCTCATGCTAGCAAGGAGTGGGGAACTCTAAGGATTCTGGATTAAGTTTTGCTCGGGGCAGCAGCTGCGGGGTGGTTGAGCTCTGTGGGTGCATCGGATGGCGATTTTGGTCGTGGGGAAGAATCCAGCCCTTCGTGGAACATGGCAGGCGCTGAAATGTGGACACACGTGGGGCAGTTGGCAGCCTGCTGCTCCTTGCCGTCCTCAGTGGGAGCACTTGGAGCCAGGCAGAAGGAAACGGGGCTGAAGTAACTCTACGCCTACGGAGGGGTGCCAAGCACGATGAGAGCAACCTCGAGTAACATTGGCATCGCCTAGCAGGGCTTTGGCACTGGCCTGGTCACTGCTAACTGAGTACAAGAAAGTATTGACTGATTTGGAGGAGGTTTTAAGTATTAAGTAAAAAATATGTAAGTTAAAAGACTATAAACCCTCCACAATTTTTCTGACGTCCAAAGGAATGAGACCCATCAGTGATGTGTTTTGTCTGTGGGTCTGGACCCATGCCAGTCCCTGGGGTGGACATTAAGGGATTTCAGTGAGATAACCACCCACTAAATAGCCCTGCCTTAGAAGAGGATTAATTCTTCATCTGCATGACACAGCACAAAGTTTGCTGCATTGCAGCCACCACGTGGCTGGGGACAAGCACATGTACATACACACACACACTCACAAAATGTCCCTCGGAGACTGGAGGAATTTCCC